AGGCTTAATCGATTAGATACCTTTAAGAATTAAGCACTTAAGTTTCAAGAATTGCAATTTTAATGATTATGAATCTCTCTTTTAGCAGCTTATCTCAAGAAAAATCATTACCCTTGGCTTTTAAAATTACTTTTATATATAAACTGAACAGTTTATCTTAGCCTGCTCAAAGTATCCCAATGCCTATAAATACTTGGCTCTTGAAAATGTTCAGATTCTGGGATAATTTGTGGATTTTAGCCCATATATTTAAGTTTTAAAAAATACAACCAGGTTAGCATATGATGTGAAAACTGAAATCACGTTGTAACTACAATACAGTTTATAAGATTTAGATCTCTTTAAGTTTTTAATGTTAATGCTTATAAAAGCTCAAAAAGTTTCAATAAACTCTTAAGACCTAAGTGAAGCTACTTTCGGTTTTAATCATGGCTAAATTGATGCTAGGTGGATGTCTTGGATAGATTAAGTTTCTATTATGATCTATACGTAGGCTTAATAACTTGGTCTAGATGCTCAGTACTTGAAGAATTAAAATTTGGTAGAATTAGATATACAAAGAGCTCATTTCATTGTTAAGTTTTTTGATATTATGCCTGAAAATAAATTGAAAGTATTAAGAATAGCGAATTTTGACTAGTTTTCTTCAAGACTGATTGACTCTATCTTGTTTATGAAAAAGCTGAAAGTTCTCTGCCTTAGTGATTATTCTAAGGCATCTCATAAAAGATTAGTTTTAGCTTTCAAGGATTATACACCATCAAGACTCAATAATTTCACAAAAGATTTTATAGACAAAGATAAATTGGGCTTGCTTGAAATTTTTAATACCCCAGAGGGAAAATTATCACCATATAAGTCAATTAGGCATCTTAGAGAACTTGAAATAAACTATCATTATTTGGGAGGCAAAGCCTAATGTGAAATCATTTTGTACTATCTCAGCACTTGTACAAGTTTAAAATCCTTCAAAATGAAGTATCTTAAGGCTGATAAAATCCCTACTACTGAATTCAAAGCTTAAACTAGTATATTTAATCCAGAAGAAAAAAACTAAAAATATGAAGAAAAACTCAAATAATTGTTTGATGCCTTATCTTCTTGCCTGAATATTGAAGTATTAGAGATTGACATGAAAGAATGCTATTATAATAGAGACTTTTTTATTTTTTCTGAAATCCTAAGAGCTTTGCAGTAAAACTAGCATAGTCGCATTTAAACCTTAGAGTTTAATATTATACCTATAAAAAGAACTTAAGTTTTAGATTAATTAGTACAGAGTAATTTTTCACTTTATATGGAAAGTCCTCTTGATCAAGCTAGATATGACATAGAAAGATTATATGAAACATTACCAAATTTAATGAAATTAAAGAGATTTACCACTAATCTTTAACTGAACATTGATAAAATCTTTGAATTCCTATCAAATAGAAACAAGAAGTTAATATTGCATTTAAATGGAAATAAGATTACAAATGAGACATTATTAGAATATAATTCCATGTTTCCATAACATGAAATTTACTCAAATTACAAATCGCTTACAACATGATGACAGCTATTACTAAAATGATTTATTTCAATTTAACTAATCTCAAAACATTGACTAATTTAATACTAACGGGGTTTTGGGGTTTTGGGGTTTTGGGGTTTTGGGG